TGCAGCGGCTGCTCCACGATCACCTCCAGGTGGATGCCGCACGCCGCGCTCCGCCCGCACAGCTCCTCGCGGTCGATCCGAGAATTCACAAACAAAATGCCATTCTGCAGATTCACCTCCAGAAGGTCCCCGCCGTCCCTAGAATCCAAGTGAAACAGGCGCGGCACCAGCTCCGCCAGCTCCAGCCCCAGGTCCTGCGCGATGCGGCCCACGAAGGTGCCGTGTTTGGCCTCCTCGGGGACGGAGTAGTGGAGCTGCCCGCTGCCCACCTCCCAGGCTGCGAGCAGCAGAACCGAAAGCAACAGATTCCTGGCGTCCCGGTCGCGTCCCCCTGAGTACATTTCAGATTCGCAGGCTTTTGTCTAACTAGCAAAAACTGACTCCAAATTAGGAGAAAACTTCCAATTCCTTCAGTCCAGGCCTGGTGTGTTTGCCATTGCTCAGCACAGAGAGTGGAAGAGAGGAGCTCTTTCCAGGAGGAAGTGGATGGCTTTGTCTTGGTTCTGAGCGAAATCCGAGGTAGAGAGTGACATCACGCGGCTCAAAGCGTAAGTACAAATGCCTTGAATTCTAACCTCTTCCTGCGCGATTTTTATTTCATCATTCAACTGTTTCTTCATTGATTAGATTTTTTAAAATCGAGGCTCACATTTTTCTATATTTGGGGGGACATTCTTAGGGAATTGATTGCCTCTGCAAGTTTTGGCCTCCTCCTGTCTAAGAAATATTCCACACAGTTTTAAAATCATGACAAAAGCGATCATAAAAGTGATTAAACAAGCATTCATTTAAATTGGAAAATTATTTTGTTCTGGAATACAGGCACCCACATATTCCTGGAGTTTACATCCTGGTGTAGGAGGGCTCCTTGAATCCCTATCCCTAGGACCTCTAAAATACCAGGAATTTCTGGCAAAAGAGAAATAAGTAAAATGAAGAACCCATTGAGGTGTTTTTCTTAAGTTGTTTTAGAAACTGAAGTTTTGTAGAATAGGTTAAGGTAGGAGTTTGCATTAAAACATTATGTGGGAAGCAATATTCTATTGTTTTATCTTTATTAGAATTTATCTAATCTGATTTGAGAAATGTATTGGGTTCCTACAGGGCTACTGTCTGATAATTTACAAGTCCTCTCATTTTATGAACATTTGTCTCTTCCTTATAATCTTCAAAACAGTTTGTATTATGGTTTTTCTTTAACTGTGTTTGAGAATGTTTACCTTCTGGTTGTTCTATTCAGCAAGGAAAACACTCTTGAGAGCTCTTCTTCTATATTCCAAACTGATATCTAAGGTTTACTGCTTTCCAGTAATTACAAATGGGTTTTAGTTTAGTTTCTCAAGTCTAGAGAATATCCTCAAATATTTCAGTAAACACTGAGTGTATCCGCTTGTTTGCCATAATCTCATATGAGCCTTCCTGAATCACAGTGTTGAACTCTTTTCTGAAACTCTTTTATATCTACCAATTTCCTTTTGAGAAGTTTTTTACTTTAATACTCAAAGATTTATGATAAGCTTCAGTTTAAGAAAGAGAAACTATTAATTAAAAGGAATACACAGAGGTTTAAAAGCCTACTCAGTCTTTTAAGGATTTAAGGAAAATGTGTAAATATAATAAAACACATCTCTGTCAACACAAGGTAATTCAGGTTTAACTTGGGGAGAATTTAAATAGTCTTTCTAAATCCTAAATGTGTTTTTACATCCATGCTGCTAATTTTGGTTTCCATTTGAAAAACTGACTTTTAAATCATTTTCTTCATTCTAATAGCATTCAAAATATCAAAACAGGGACTCTGTTTAGTGACCTTACAAAACATCATTTCCACATAAAATAAGCTTAATATGAATGGCAATAATAATGATTTTCTGACTTAAAATTTTCTTTTGTCCAATCTTAACTTCTTTTCTTCTTGGGAATAATAATAAATATATTTTATTATGCTGTTACCATTCAACAGACTTCATTACAAGCAGTTTACAAATGTTAACTTACCTTATACAAAAATTCTATCCAGTAGTTGCTATTGTTATTATGCATAAAAGTGAAATCAGGTGCAAATATAACGTATGCAAAAAAATAACAAATGCCCTTCAAAGAGCAGTATTTAAACCCAGGGAGCCTCAAATTCCACAATGTTTGCTCTTTAAGCTTTCCTACCTTTCATTTTAAAGAATTCACTCACATAAAAGCATTACCCTACAGAGAATAGTGAAAAGTATTCATATCTAAGAAATAGTTGTATTGTAAATGGAGAGTCATAAAACTGAAATGAAAGTATGAGTCAAAGACATGACGCATAAGATGGTGAGAAGGATCCTTATTTCTACATAAGGTATTTTGTCAAAATCAACTAACTATTAGGAAGATAATTCGGTCAAGTTAGACTGTAAGACAATATTCACAAAGGAAAAGCTCTTCATTTGTTCAAATCAGTACACTAATCATAAGCATATAAAACCCACAAAACACTGACAGTTGAGGACTAAAATTAATATGATTTAGCTCATATGGCAGGTCTTTAATAATCTAATAAAACACTGAAGATCATTGACAGAAGTTTTAAAACTCATATTGCTTGCAGATTATTTCCAGTTGGCAAAAGGGAATAAGATATTGACTACTGCTATATAAAATAATAAAGGAGATAAGTAATAACTCAAAACCCATTGCCATTGAGTGAAGCTTGACTAACAGAGACACCATGAGCCTCAGAGTAAAACTAAGCTCCATAGGATTTTGAATAGTTGACTTTTTCAAGGTGAATGCCACATACAAAGATTTGGCTTGAATTAATGAAGCTAAACTATCTTGAATGCTTTGTGTAATAAATGTTTTTAAGTATTGGTGAGCAAGGGTGGAATCAATTCATATGTACAATAAAATGTATTTGACACATAGCAAAACACCATGAACAACATATTGAAAAAGCACATGCTCTCTCCGGGTCTTACATGGTCAATACTAAAATTAGGATAAAAAGTAATAAAACTCAAGAGAAGTTGTTATTCTATACTTTGCCATCAAATTGCCTTAAATTCAGTATATGAACACTACAGACACAGCTAGGCACTAAGTAGAAGCACAAGGCAGATGGATGGACAGAGAATAAAATATAAGACAGTAAGAACAAAAGTAATCAAAAGATAATATATAGAGAGAAATTGATTGAAATTTAAAAGTGGATTTCAATATTTAGCAAAGAGGAAACTATCCAAGCAATATTTCAATTAAAATAAAATTTCCAGTTTTAATTCACATTTATCTGATTGAACTGGGAAATATTATTTTTAAACAAATTTAAATACAATAATAAGAGCAATGAACGAGTATGAAACTCTACTGGTTAAAACAAAAATATTCTTTAATGCACAGGAAATAATAAGAGATTTTCAAATTTTTCATTAGAAAATTTGAGTTCACTTACTTTGGCATTTAAATCCTGATGTTCACCCACATCTGCTGCTACTGGGCAGGGTGGGAGGCTGGGGCTGAAGGCCATGAGGTCGGTCTTGGGCGGCCCCTCCCCAGAGCAC